ACGAGCACGAGCGCCTCCCGCACGAGGCGCCCCCACACCGCGCCCTCGACGTCGAACGCCTCCGCCCGGGCCTTCGCCCCCACGCTGGAGGGATCGGTGTCGGACGCGAGCTCGAGCAGCTCCGCGTACGCGAGGTGTGTGTAAATTGTCGTCAGGGAGTCTGCGGCTTCCATTGTCGCGACTCCTGCCTTTTGAGGTGCGGGCGGAGAGAAGAACGACGATGAGCTTTTCGACGAGGAGGCGAAGAGGGAGGACGGGGTGCCGAGTGGGGAGGGCGTGTTGAGGAAGGCGGACGAGCGGCCGAGGGAGGAGGGTGTGTTGAGCACGGAGGCAGAGGCGCCGACGCCGACGCCTGGGGCGAGGGCGGGCGTCGCGGCGACGGAGATGCCGGAGACGAGGGCGCGGATGGCGGGTGTTGTCTTCAAGGGCTGGAGAAAGAGAGAGTCAGTATATCGCTTCTGATATGATAGGTTTGGGAGATGCGGAAAAGAAAGAAAGTAAAGAAGAAAAGGGACGTCGTACGAGCACACCGGATAGCCGCGGTCATGCTGTTTGCTCCGCGGGCGAAATGCGCCTTGGCGCGCTCGCTGGCTCTTACAGCCGCGACGACAACAGCGCGACGTCGAGAAAGACGCGCTAGGAGGATGCGGACGATGCGTTTCGACCACACGATCTACCGAGCAGCTCATCGTTGTACTCCTGCGACACAGCCCTCTTCCCGTCTGATCTTAGGCCCCCGCGCATCCATCCAGTCTCCCATCTGGACAGTATCCTACATCCCGCGCTCCAGCGGCCAGGTAGCGTCCAAACAAATGGCCCCGTCGCCGGCCACCTCCTACCCGAACAGAATATGAGCGCACCCGCGATCCTCTGCACATCGAGCACCGAATCCTTGGTGGCAGACGTTTGCCGCCAACCGCCCAGAGCCTACAGGTCGCATATACCGATGCCCAGCGCCAAAGAGTTTTGGAAAAAGTACGTCCAAAAAAGGAAATGCGCGTCCATGCTCGTTTGACGGTGTAGCGTCGAAGGCCGTTATCCCTCCTCGCCAGCCAACATCGAAACGGCGCCATCTTGGAATCGACGGACCCTCCACGCAAAAGCCCCATCCGACACTCCCGTGGCAAAATACCCCCACCCACCACCGCCCACGCACACCCTTCCACAGCCCACCACGGGGCCGGGTCGAAAAAAAATGCCGAAGAGGGAACCGGGTCTCAGACTCCCGGGCGCAACACAACGAAAAACGAGGCGCGCTCAGTTCGCACACGAACACGAACACGAACACGAACACGAACACGAAACGAAGAAGGACGTTTCGTGTTCGAAGGCAAGAAAGAAACGAGAGAGAAACCAAAACGATCAAACGAAGGAACAGAAAAACCCACCTCACCAACGACCCAGCTCCAGATCCTGCGGAGATAAACAAAAAAGGGTTGGTCAGTTGGGTGTCCTCGTAGGTTAGGTAGAGAGAGATGTAAAGAGAGAGAGAGAGAGAACAAAGGGAAAGAGGGAGAGAGGAGGAAGAAAAGGGAAAGGGAACGAGGGAAAGCGGAAAGAGGCAAGACGCGACGACTCGTCCGATGGCAAGCTAGCTGGGAGACGAGCACACGAGCACAAAGCGGAGCGGTGGCAGAAAGACGTGCCAGCCAGCCTGCAGGAGAAGACGAGTTCGACGCGCCCAAGGCTTCGTCGTTCCCCAGGCGACCGACAGACGCGCGCCAAGGCGCACGGCCAGCACCATCGACGCCGACGCCGATGCGCCGGTGTATCCAACCACGCGTCTGTCTGGTCTCGAAACGCGTCTGTCTGGTCTCGAAACGCGTCTGGCGCACGTCTCGACACGCGTCTGGCGCACGTCGTCCGCCCCACGGCCTCTCCGTCCGTCGACCCGCCCAGCTCGTCGACGCGCGTCGGCTGCATCCACGCCAGCTCCACGACCCTTGGCAGATCGTCTCTACGGCCATCTACGCAGATCGTCTCTGCGTCCATCTACGCAGGCGCCGTCATCGCGATACGCATCCACACCCCCATCCACACAACCAGTCGACCACGCCCGCCCGCACGAAAACGCGCGTCCCACCTCGGACATCTGGCAGGTACGCATCTCCCTCCTACGCCTCGCGCGTTGGACCATAACCCTCTCGCCACCCGAACGCGCTTCTCGTCTGCTCTCCATCCCCCCCTTCTCCCTCCCTCGCTCCCTCTCATCTCCCCTCCCTTCCTTCCCCTCCCCCACCCTACCCCACCCTCCCCCACCCCAACACCACTCGATCCACTTGAAGAACTAGAAGAAAGAAACAAACGCAAAAAAACTCACCCCCCACCAACCCCCCACCCCGCCCCCGTCAGCACACCAAGAGCGTACGCGCGCGGGACGGCGCGGAGGAGCGAGCGGCGCGGGGGGAGGAGGCGCAGGGCGCGGAGGAGGGGGGAGGCTGTGGAGGTATCAGTATGAGATGCAATACAATACGAAAAATTGAGAGAGAAGAGAACATTGAGAGGAGGAAGGATGAGGTGAAAGAGAAGCGGGAGGAAGGATGAGGTGAAAGAGAAGCGGGTGGATGAGAGGGAGGAAAGACGAAAAGGGAAACAGAGGAAGGAGAAGAAAGGAGAAAAGAGAAAAGAGAAAGGAAACAAAGCGTGAGTGGGGGGAGTAGGAAGAATAGGAAGGGTAGGAAGGGCAAGTGATGCGGAAGGAGGGAAGGAGTCGTATGTCGGGTAATCGGAACGATGACGGGATGGAGGAGGGATGGGGGCGGAAGATGTGGGAGACGGGAAAGTTGGAGGACGAGGAATGGGATATGGGAGGGATGATATAGTGAAGAAGGAATGCAATAAAATGGGGGCATGTACGTGAAAGGGGGAGATTGAAGTAATATACGATATCCCTCGAAAACTAAAAATACGGATATAAAACCACCACGGGTGGAAAAAAGGCGAAAGCGACGAAAAAAGGCGAAAGCGACGAAAAAAGACGAAGAGAATGAAACCGCGCAAATGAAGCCAAACCGCGCAAATAAAACCAAACCGCGCAAATAGAAAACGTTCCAAAGAAAAAGAAAAAGAAAAACCGCGAAGATGCGAATGATAACGGCAAGGGAAAATAATGGCAAGGGAAACTAGAAGAAGAAGAAGAAGTAAAACCACTCACCCCCCGGCAAAACCCTCCCAACGGGAACCAGCACGCCCAGCAGGAACAGCGCGCCCGTAAGGGCAAGGAGCGGGAGCGCGAGGGCCGCGACGAGCCCCGGGAAGGAGGCGAGCAGGAGGGCGAGGGGGGTTGGGGGTGGGCGCTGCGGGGGGCGTTAGTATCAGTTTAGATGACAGTACTGGGGCAGGATGGAGAGGGGGAAGCAGGACGGAGTCAACGACGGAAAGCAAAACGAAGCGCGCGTGCAATCGTACAGCGCGTCAAAGCCGAGTCCATGCGTGAATGGCGAGAACTCCGCCTCTCTCTCCTCCAGTGAAACACGTCAACTCTTGCTCCTTCCCTCTCTCAAACCACTCAATAAAAGTAGCGAATAAATGCCAGCGCCTCCTTCTCGTCCTCCTCGTCCCCAAACCACTACCACTTGAACAGAAACGCGAAAAACGCACCCGAAACGGAAACACCCAGCTATCCCTCAATACCGCACGGAGGACGAAGAGCGCGGCGGTGGCGGCCTGCGTGAGCACGAGGAGGAGGAAGACGGGGTGCAGCGTGTAGGGGTGTTTTCTGTGTTCGTTATTTCGTCAGTTTGTTGTTTCGTCAAGTGGCAGTAGGCGAGTTGCGGTGATATCGGTTAGAGCGTCGAGTTGCGGTAGAGGAGGGCGCGTTTTATCGAGGCAAGGGCGGATTGGACGCGTGTCGAGATATAGGTCGGATTAGGGTTGAAGGATGCAGAGAAGAATGCGTATGCGGAAGAGACAAAGACAAAGACGCGCATGAAGAGAAACAGAGAAAGCCAGTCAGTTGAGCATACTGAGGAAGAATACAAAAACGCAGCAACGCACCGCGACCTAACGAACACCGGCACCGCGGGGTCGAGCACGAGGTGCAGCGCGAGGACGCCGAGCGCGGAGAGGACGTGCGCTTGGAGCGCGTGGAGGGTGCGTGTGCGTAGGGGGCCGGGCGTCACGGATTTTTGAAGCAGGAGGAGGGGGGAGGGGGCGGATGTGTGGGTTACTGCCAGGTGGGGATTGGTTAGTGATTTTCGAAACGTCGGAATACAGAGAAGGGTGGGCAGAATGAAAGGGAATGCGATGGAAATGCAAGGAAAGAAATTGAATGAAAGAAAACGCCACTCACCAGTCAGATACGCCTTGCGCACCAACACTACCGGCAGCACGCCCACCACCCACAGAACGCATCCCACCGCAAGCCACCTCGCCACCCCACCTCCACTTCCTCCACCTCCTCCATTTCCAACTCCACCCGCTCCCGCACCACTTCCACTTGCTGCTCTTCTATACCCACTCCAACTTGTACTCTCACTCCCACTACTGCCATTCGCACTGGGACTCCCTGAAAGCACCAACAGCCCCGGCGCCACCAAAACCAAAACCGCGAGCAACGAATACGGGAATATGCGCCGAGTCAGGCGGCGCGCGAGGACGGCCTTCGCGAGGGGCGCGTAGAGGAGGGCGGGAGGCGGGATGGGGGGTGCGGCGCTGGAGGCGAGGGGGGTGGTTATAGCGCGGATGGCAGGGAGGCCGGTGTTGGAGAAGGCGGAGGGGCGGGGGGAGGAGGAGGACATTGCGTTTGGCTTTCTACAGTGTCTCACTCTCTAAGTCGCGCAGAAAACCAGAAGTTGGACTTCAAAGTCGCGACGCGTGAAAGAGGAAGGAAGGAGGCGGAGTTTGGGTGTGCTTGGTAAGGAAGGGGAGGGGAAATAGGTGTCAACAAGCGTGTTGAGTTTGCTCGATTTTGGTTTACTCATGCAGCATCGAGTAACTTGGGATTCGATCTGCAGCCTTGGTCTGCTCTACACTTCCCGCATCGCTAGAATACCCACAGCGCCCTTGTGGATCATGGCGATCATCTCGTTGTAATAGGCATTTCCGAACGATTTCAGACTTTACTGAGAAGAAGGAGGTTCGATTCCTCCCGAGGGCTTGCATGATTAAGTATGTTCTTTTTCCCTGTTCCCTCCTCCTCTAATTCTTTTATTTCTACGCCCCAACAAATCATTGATCAGAAATACAATCCTTCAACCAACGACAGACCCAGAAAAAACGAGGTTTGATCCCTTCCATGCAGTAGAAGGTAAATCGTTCTGCGTTTAATTGTCCCGTGTTATTCTGCCCCTCATTGATTAGTTGTGCATCTCAAGGAGGGAAGTAATAGTACCCATAACGCCTTTGTGGATCATGGTGATCACCTCGCTGTAGCAGTGGTATCACATCCGCATACCGAGGAGAAGGAGGTTCGATTCCTCCCGAGGGCTTAGTGGCAAGGTCATATGTGTTTTCGCACCTCGGAACCCTCTCCCAGTTTTCATTCTTTTCCGCTCCTGGCGATGCACTAGAAACTGAAGAACACAAGCCTTCAATAAGACCGCTCATGATGCTATGCAAAATGAGTGAGGTTTGATCCCTTCCATGGAGTAATTGTCAATTTGTTCTGCATTATTCTGCCCCTCATTAATTTGAGCACCTAATGAGGGAATAGTACTACCCAACAAGCCCTCGTGGATCATGGTGATCACCTCGCTGTTGTAAGCCCGCTTTGAAATGCATTCCGAGGAAAAGGAGGTTCGATTCCTCCCAAGGGCATTCATTAGTGATACTGGATTTCTTTGAATTGCCCTCCAAGTCCCACCTCAGGAGTACCTCCATTGCGCACTTTTGGAAGCTGCATCGTGGCAGGCCCTTTCCTAAACCAAATCAGGTTTGCATCTTATTTCTTCTGAACATCAATCTTTCATTAGCATTTGTTTCTCTGCTTCTCATGATTGTTTGCACTCATGTGGTACCCAGAAGCCTTTGTGGATCATGGGGATCACCCCATTTTCATGCTGTTGTTTATTTTCATGCAAGAGGGGAAGGAGGTTCGATTCCTCCCGAAGGCACTGTGGGAAATTCTGTGTAGTATTTTTTTCATCCCTGGACCCCATTGGGTCACTAATTCTAATCCTGGCTTCTTCCTCCCATCACAGCTCATCCCATGGGCAAGAAAGAACCCGAGGTTAGATCATCAAATCTGAATTGATAATCTTGAACCAACAGATCTCAATCTCTGATCACAAGGAGCACATCATCCCTTCGTAATTTTGATTCTGCATCTGAGAGTTGAATGAGCACTTATAAAGAAACTATTAGTACCCCGAAAGCCTTTGTTGATCATGGTAATCACCTTGCTGTTGTGATCAGGCTTTGAAAGTACATTCCGAGGAGAAGGAGGTTCGATTCCTCCCGAGGGCTTTGATGGACAGTATTATATCTTTTTGGTCTTTCTTTTTCTCCTCCTGCTCTCTCAACCTTTTACTTCCAGTCCCAATTATGCACCAGATACACAACACAAGCGCTCAACAAGGCCATCAATGAAGCCCTGCAAAAAGGGTTCCCTTCCATGGAGTAATTGTTCCGCATTATCCTGCCCCTCATTAACTTGAGCACCTAATGAGGGAATAATACTACCTAAAAAGCCCTCGTGGATCATGGTGATCACCTTACTGTTGTAAACCCGCTTTGAAATGCATTCCGAGGAAAAGGAGGTTCGATTCCTCCCGAGGGCATTAATTTCCAAAATGGTCTTTTTTATTCATTAGCCTGCATCACCCATCGCAGGAGTACCTCCATTGCGCACTTTTGAGAGGGAGAATCAGGGCAGGTCACCTTTCCATTTTAATCTTTTTTTTTTTTTTTTTTTTTGGAGCGTTTGGAATAACAATACTCAGTCTGCAGAAGCATTCCAAGGTTGTCCGCTTGTGCTGCTGGTTATAAACCAGTCGTCGCCAGAGAAGTTGTCCAAGGAGGAAATGCCGTTACGCACATTTTTACCAGTGTGGGGCTCCGGCCAAACTTTAACCTATTCCGTTTCGTTCAATCATGGGCCGCATACCCACTAAAACCCCCTGTGTATAAGTCCAGTCTTCTGGCAATGAGTCTTCGTCCATGAGTAGCCCGATCCACATGTTGAGGACAAGCTCTTTTTTCAACGCCAGAGTCCCGAATTTCATCTTATCTGTGAGAATCTGGTCACGGCGCAAAGCCGCATTTATCATTTTCAACCATTGATTGTGTATACCTGCCATCGTCAGTATTCTTTCTGGGTTTTTAATCACTTTGCTGACTCGGAGGGTCCAAATTAGATGCCAGGCAATAGACACGAGTTTCGAAAACAGCCTTGCTTTTTCAGGCTGAATAGCACCCTTCACCGATTTAAATCTGACCAGATTGCACCCTAGAATCAACCCCCAATTCAGTGTTGGCCATTGGGTATATTTTCTCGACCAGAGCTGTTGTGTCAATTGCCATATGAATTTTTGCCCCTGTGCATTACATTCTAAAGCAATATGTTCTAAATTTTCGGGTACACCACATACATGACATTCTCCTCTTTTCTCCATTGTGTCAATATGGGACCAGAAATCGCCCACCCTGAATGTATCATGCATACATTTCCAGAAACATTCACGGGTTGAACGTTGCATTGTTGGGGACCTAATTGAATTCCATATGGCTTCGTCAGATGGTGTATACTTTGAAAGCTCTTGGATCGAACATCGTATGCGGTCCAAATTCACGAACATATATTTGCGACTAGGTCTCGGGCGAAGAGTTTTGATAACTTTTGTAAAAAATCTTTGTGAACCTTGTGATAATAGTACACCAGGACACTCAAACATTAGGTCAATTTGCGTGTCGACCTCTTTGACCATACATTGTTGGTTCGTTGGAATTCTTGCTTCATTCTCAGAGACTTTCTTGAAATAGACTCGAGCTACTCTTTCGTTTAGGGCTGCAGAAACAGCTTTGACGATGTGGAACTTTGCATCCAAGATATCATTTTCAGCTTTCAGTCTGTCTTTAACAAATGCCCGCTGGAAAAAATCTGAGGAAGTGCATATCAGCAGAGGGGTATTTTTCGATGTATTCTGTAGTGCAATTAGCAGTCCTCCTAAAAGGGCCGTTGAGAAGGTCAATGGAATTTCTGTTTTGTCAAAAGTTAAGGAAAATTTCCATTTTAATCTTATTCCTGCCAAAACCCAATCAGGTTCGACTATTTCTATTATATTTCTGTCTCTGCTGCTCACAATCGTTCGCACGTATAGGAGGAATATAAGTGTTCAGAAAGCCTTTGTGGATCATGGTGATCACCCCTCTTCTATGCGTCGTCGTTTCAAAGATGCAGTGAGGTGAAGGAGGTTCAATTCCTCCCGAGGGCTTGCATAACCAATTGATATTCCTTTTTGCCCGTCGGAACCCTCTTCTAGTTTTTTTTTTCTTTCTGTCCCCCAACAGTGCACCAGAAACCGGAGGAGAGGATTCAATCAACGACTGGCTCAGTAAAAATGAGGTTTGATCCCTTCCACATACAGAATAAATTGTTTCATGTTGTTCAGCATTTTACTGCATCTGCTTAACTAGTTGAGCACACAATGAGGAAATAAGCATACCAGTAAAGCCTTTGTGGATCATGGTGATCACGTTGCTGTTGTGATCGGGCTTTGAAAGTACATTTCGAGGAGGAGGAGGTTCGATTCCTCCCGAGGGCTTGATGGTGACGTCATATGCCTTTTTCCCCCTGGGAACCCTCTTCCAGTTTTTTTTTCTTCTGGCCCCCAGGAGTGCTCCAGAAACTAGAGGAGAGGATTCTATCAACGACTGGCTCAGTAAAAATGAGGTTTGATCCCTTCCACATACAGAATAAATTGTTTCACGTTGTTCAGCATTTTACTGCATCTGCTTAACTAGTTGAGCACTCAATGAGGGAATAAGCATACCAGTAAAGCCTTTGTGGATTCTGGTGATCACCTCGCTGTAGTAGTGTCAATGGTATCACACATTCACATACCGAGGAGAAGGAGGTTCGATTCCTCCTGAGGGCATACACGACGATGAATGATATTTTCTTTTTCTTTTCTGGCCTTGCACTTCCATCGCACAAATAAGTCCTTCAGTGCAAGAAAATCATGGCGGGCCAGTCACGTTTCCATTTTTATATTCTTCCCACCGAAACCCCAACTAGATTTCAAAGTAATATTTCTTGTTGCAGGATCAATCTTCCATTGTATTTATTTCCCTGCTGCTCTCAATATTTGGTACTTATGGGGCGAGCAAGAGTAACCAGAAGCCTTCGTGGATCATGGTGATTGCCTTGCCTCAGTGGGTGCCAATCAAAGCTGATGAGGAGATGGAGGTTCGATTCCTCCCGAAGGCTTTGGCAGTTGTGTTTAAGCTTTTTTTTTTATTGCTCTTCCCTCCTCTTCTCTCAACCTTTTTTCCAATTCCTGACCTACTGTATTTTTTCATTCAGGTCGACAGTCACGCCCCCGTATCGATATCGAATTTTGGTCGTGGTCAGGTGTCACGCGGCGGGTTGTCGAATTGTTCCAAAGGTTCAAAAAACCGTCAAAACTTGCCTCTCAGCCCCAAAAACCACTCGAAAAAGATTCTCCATGCTCATTTGATTAGATTTTTGCGAGTTTCCTCCGTTCTGGCTGTGCTGCATTTGATACTGCCAAAACCCCATAATTTTAGAGTCAAACCAACCAACTGCTCAAAAGGAATCAGTTGCACATTAATCCTGGAATTGTTAGGAACATTATCTACACAATTTGCGTGAGTTTGTAGTCCATTGTCGAATTTTTTGGGGTGTGTCACACTGTCCTGGGGGTTGTGTCGAATTATCGAATTGGCTGTACCAGGTCACGCGTCACACCCGCTGTCGATCTGAATGAAAAAATACAGTACTAGAATACAGGTGCCCAACAAGACCCACAAAACCCTGTCAAATGAGATTTGCTTCCTTCTGTAAAGTAGACCATTCTACGGTGTTCTACATTATTCTGTATCTGATTGATTTTGAGTACTTCAGGAGGGAATAGACATACCAATAAAGCCTTCGTGATCACAGTGATGACCTCATTGTCATCAACAATTCTGCCAAAAATCCAACAAGGAGGAAAAGGAGGTTCAATTCCTCCCAAGGGTGTCCCTTGGTGTACATGACTTTTTTTTCTTATCTTGCATGTCCCATCTCACAAGTACTTCCATTGCAGACTTGTGAGGGGCAGAGTCATAGTGGCAATTTCATTCCATTTTCTTCCCACCAAAATCCAAATATGTTTCAAAGTAATATTTCCTTTGGAAATCAACCTTTCATTATATTTCTTTCTCTGCTTACAATCTTTTGCACTGATGGAGAGAATATGAGTACCCGATAACACCTTCGTGGAATATGGTGATTGCCTCACCTCAGTAGATGCATAGACTCGAACCAGTCGTTATTCGAAAGCTGTGATATTGATGACAGTCGATCAATAAGGCAGCTAAATCACGACTGGAGCATAATTACCGGTGGCTTGGAGACACAGAGATTGCCGAGATTCTTTTGTGGACTTAGCCAAATTTCGATGAAGGTTGCCAACAAATTTTCGAAAGGTCGATATCTGAGGCAGCAACCATCCATTGCACTGTTCTCGATTATCAACGCTACGAAACGGTTGTGTTGACCAACCCAACACAAGTTGTGCAGTGCTTGAATGCCATCTTCCTGTTCCTACTTGTATTGTCCTGATCTAAAACTGTGAAGATGCTGAACTCTGTGCATCAAACACAACGATGCACAGGCCTCTCAAGGGATTGATTTTTTTGGCATCAAACATTGTTGGTTAATAAGCCCTACGTCATATACAGGGGCACTCAGGGGAACTATTTTGGTATTTAAGCAGCGGAAACACCACACCACGTCCACAATCCCCCACACTATTATAGGGGGCCCCCTAATGACAATGCACCCTGATGTGGTAAAAACACTGATGCCATCTGCACCTTGCCCCGAAATCATCTGGGAAAAAGGTAGCAAATGTTTGTAGTCCTCATGCATCGTGATCTAAGTTTATAG